TTAATTTCTTGAATTAGATAAAAATTTGCCCTAGGAAGAACTCTGAATTTTTAGTCACATTCTCAGTTTATCAGAAGAAGTAATTTTCTTTAACATCATAAGTATTTTTAAAAATTCTTATGTCTCGGGGTTTAAGTGTTTCTTTTTTTGATGGAAACCACACTCATTTATTTAACTATAACTTTGGTTAATTTGAATAAAATTAGAAAGCTTCATGTTAAACTGGGTCTCCAAGAATTTGTGTTTCAATAAAAGGGAAAAGAATGTCTAAGGTGAGAGAATAGCATTATATTTGATAACACCAATTATATTTTCTAGTGACACTATTTGAATCATATTCAAAGCTATGAAGTACAGGAACATAGAAGTAATAGCTTCAGTAATCATTTTCCTGTTTTTATAATATAATGAGAATCTAATTTCATAAAAGAATGTTATCTCTGTATAGTACTGCTCATTCTCTTTAAGTCTTAAAAAAAAAACAAAACACCAAATCCTAAACTTTCTATTAAACATTCTTTTTTTTTTTTTAAATTTTTTTTATTTTATTGATTTTTTACAGAGAGGAAGGGAGAGAGATAGAGAGTCAGAAACATCGATGAGAGAGAAACATCGATCAGCTGCCTCCTGCACACCTCCCACTGGGGATGTGCCTGCAACCCAGGTACATGCCCCTGACCGGAATCGAACCTGGGACCCTTCAGTCTGCAGGCCGACGCTCTATCCACTGAGCCAAACCGGCTTCGGCTCTATTAAACATTCTTTTGACTTTACTGAATAACTTTTTTTCCCAACCCGAGATCACAGAAAAAAAGTGACCTTAAAAAGGTTGGAATTCACAACTGATTTTACATTGTATGACAGAAATAATGGACAGGTCCTTGATTACTATAAAAATTTTCAATGACTTCCCAGAGTCTATTTAAAGAGCCCTACTACTTCCAAGTAAAAAGTTTGAAAACAACCATCTTACGCCATGCTGCTTTCCAGTGGAAAAGACCATATCACTCCCCTGCTTCAAATCCATCTGAAGAGTTGCTTCTTCCAGGAAGCCAATCATGAGCCTCCTAGGCCTTGACAATGAAAAAGACAAGGTTGGAGTGCTCCTGAATCTACTCAACTAATGCTAATTAAAATAACCTCCAATAAAAAAACTAGACATTCTCTCAACGGAGTAATATACATTTAAGGCACTAGAAAAGTATTTTGTTAACTTAGTTGTACCACCAGGACATGGTAGTATATGCCTATGATCATAACTACTCAGGGATAAACTGAACTCAAGAATTTTTAGTTCCCTGTAGACTGAATATTCATACCTAGTTCCACGTTATTATACCCATTGGTTATCAATTTGCTTAAGGAGAACTAAACTGACACAGTTCAGAAAAGGGAGATGATCAATTCCATTATTGAATAATACAGTGAAAAATAAAAGTACATTCAATTCTTTCTTCATTCACTAAGTCCAGCCAAAGTGGAATAAGACTTGTAGGAAAGAACAAAAATACAGGCTATGGAATTTGGAGTTTTTCCAAAGTCACTATGCTTGACTCCTTGAATTTAAAAACAGACAAAATAATATCGACCTAATACGTACCTAATTCTTTTATGATGTGCCAGTCACTGTCCTAAGACCTTTATATTCATCAACTCACTTATCCCCACAAAACTCCTATGATATAGGTATTACTTTCCTCATCTGATAAAAAATGAGAATTGGAAATTACTTGTATAGGATAACACAGCTAATAAGTAGCAGAGATGTGATTATTCCAGGCAGTGTAACTTCATAGTGTGCTCCTAACCTATATTATTAATTTTTGATGTGTTCTTTTCTTTTCTTTCCGCCACAATATGGTTTTTAAACTATTCTTGGTATCCCATAAGAATGCTTCTGGGGCCATTAAGTAAAGTAAAAGAAAGCAGATGGCACTCTGGACACTTCACCCAGTCAAAGCAATTTCACTACATCTGTTTAAATACTGACAATACAATTAAAATTTTCACAGTAATATTTTACAATCTTTTCATGCTAAAAAGCAAAAGAGTTTGAAAATCACAATATCTAGTTTATAATCTCCATAAGGTCAGGATTTATGACCAAAAGTATCTCACATTAAATAAAAATGACTTAATAAATTAAAACTATATGACAGTACTATACTCATCAGAAAAATTTAATGCTCACAAATACTATCACATCAGAGAAAATATTAAACACCAATATAATTAAATTGAATAACAATAATGTTAAATCACACAGACTGGTGTTTAATCTTTAATAATGAGCGATCAAAAAGATTTCACTATTTCAGAACTACTGATGGGTTAAGAATAAATCATGATCACTTACTATAAAATGCCCACTCATATTTTTAGGATTACTGAATATAAGAAACTGTATTAAAACTTAAATTATCAGTATAAGTGTTATTTCATAATATTTTCTGATGTTCATGAATTATTTTCTATTTCACAGAAGTTATAAGGAAATTTGAAAAAACAAAAACAAAAACTACTCTATTAGTTATCTTTTATCATTTCCATCTGTGGACCTAAGAACTTACATGTGTGTTTATAAACAGAGGAAAAAGGTTACTGCTACCATTTTGTATTCCCTATTAGTGTGACTTTAGGTTGAGGGCTTACATCTAAATCAATTGAAAATCACAGAAGATTTAAGAAAATAAAACTGAAGTACCAGTTTTTCTAATTCTGGATTTGGATTAAAAGTCAAAAGTAGCAAAAATATAAACTCGTATTTTCTACTCTACAATTTGCTTGTAGAGTTTTATTTTGGAGAAAATATAGTTTCCAACCAACCAAGATACAAACATGAAATATATCTACTGCTTGAAATACTTTATTGAAATTTACATCAACAATTTTTCATACTTTATGATTACCAGAAAATAACATACTATCACCCTAACAAACCTCACCCTCATGACTGTATCTCAGTTAAAATAGAATATGTGAAGGTGAAACATATTAAGAACGAGTGTCAGCATTACATCTACCAAATTTTTTTTGTAATAAAATTGCTTTAAACAGTAGCAAAAACTAGTAAAACGAAGTTTCTGACACCTTAAAACATATACAAGAAAGTTAAACAAATGCCAAATCCAGCTCAATATAGCTGATTAGAAGATATAATTTTAATACTCATTTTTGAGAAATTACATTTAACCATGTGGAGACAAACAGTAAATAGACTACATCAAAGGCACAGGAAACTAGAATATAATATTGCCTTAAAAGGAATGCAAGACAGAGCCTCCCATGAATGACAGCATGAACAATCTTGCTTTCTTCTGAAAGACCCAAATATTTATTGCCTATGCTGTTAAAATATCTTCGTATCTTTATGAAAAAGCACCAAATTGTTTTTCTATACTAGAATATTTTAAAAAGCCTCAAACTATATCAAACTTTGACTGTTTATATAAAACATTTTTCAGAGATGGTATTAAGGATAATTTTCAGTGATCAGTAGGGTAGTCCAACATATATACAAACAAAATTGCAACTTGTCTGCCCAATCCCTATCTCTGAATGCTCAAAACTAATGCACTGTACTTTGTTACCTAAGTAAAATAAGGACAATATGCTTATTGTCCTTCTCAGACGAGTTTTATTTTTCCTTTCCCAGAAAAATAAAAATGTAATTGTTTAATTAGTGCTATCATCCTAGAAAAGCAATTTTGAATAAAGTAATTCACATTAAAGTTGAATAAATATTATTCATCAAATAAGGTTTAATGGAAGAGTTTATTAATCGACATAGTATCTGCAATAGACACTGAGTGGCTCAACTCTAAACCAAGAAATCAGAAACTAACCAATTATGACCCCTTGTACATTTTTAAAAGATTGCCAACTCCTGATCTACAGAGTGATGACAGTTTAAATCTAATTTTTCCAAGAATGCTATGAAGACAATTACAAAAGGATTTATTTATAATTTTGGATGGTGAACAGTCCTACACTTTTCTCAGATAGTAAAAAAAGATATGCAATAATGTCCTTATCAACCCATATTCTGTATTTAATCTTTATCTTTGGAGGCTGCCTCCTAGGCAAAGGAAATTCAGTATTAAATATGAATCGAGAACAGAAAATTGCAAATTTAAAAGTAAAATTCAGAATTTGCAAAAAAAAAAAATAAATTAAAATTTAAATATAAAAAACAGTATGTGCCATTATTTCAGGTATTTGAAAAAAATTCTTATTTGTGAAAGGGGTAGTAAATAATCAGTTCTAATTTTATACACAGTGACAGTGATATTAAGATATATATAGATCTTGTTACTTCAAAATCAAGAAAAGACATAAATATTTAACAAGTTAAGTTGGAAGAGGGTATAGAAAGAGTAGGACAAAAAGGGAAGCTCCATGGAGAGACAGGGGAAAAGGCAGTGATCTCTTATATCCCCAAATTAAAGATCTTTAAGGAAAAGTGATGTGTTAGAATATGTATACAAAGGGAGGTTCATAAAAAATTTTTTGAATCTTAACTTCACATTAAGGTTAAAAAAAAGATTTAAGAATAATTTTATTTAGAGTTAGAAGATTGGTGACCATAAAATATTTATTCTCTAACATTCCCATCAATGTCAAAACAAAACAAAACAAAACAAAAACAAACAACCAAGAGACTTCTACTGAATATTGTAGAGATCTCACTAGCTTTTTCTTCTTCTCAGAGAGCCTAGGTTTTCTGTTTGGAATTATATTTTTGCATGAAGTGATATTTAATCTTCCACTATGTGGTAATCAATTATATGCCACCCAATTGAGGAACATTGATAAAGATATTCTATTACCAGCACTAGAATGAATGCGTCAAATGTGTATGTGTAAATATTCCACAAAAATAGAAAATTCTCAAAACATATATAATACTCATGTTCTGACATACAAAACCCAAGTCTACTCTTCTTGTATTACCGACTCTCATAAAACACATGAGTTTCACATTGTTTGGAAATACCTACCTGAATAGCTGAATTCATGAAACACGTATTTCCCAAGTTACTTAGGCCACAGAGGCCTGGCTGTTCATTGTTTCTTCCAGGTTCTGAATAATCATAGTTCTTATAAGCAGTATATGATGGGAGACAATAATTTGAGTTTTTCACACTGGAAGAAAACAAAAAATATTTTTCACAATGCAATCAATGATCACAATGTAGTTATAATGAACAGAGTACTTTCAACTTATTTGAAATAGGTGGTCAGTCATTGCCTTTTTTATAAAGCACTTAATTCAGGATCTTTTTAATACTCCCTTAATTAAGACACTCCTCATCCAATCAACAAATCATTGCATCTTATATCACACCAACAAAAACAAACCATTGTATCTTTCTACCCTTGATTAACTGGAGCAGCTTCACAGCTTGCTCCATCCTCCATTGCTCCATCAAATTGAAAACATTTAGATTTTAAACACCACCCGCAGCAATAAATCATCTCATTTATGTCCCTTTTACATCCTGCTACTGTAAGAGAATAGTAGAAACATGAAGGGTTGTACCTTAGTTACAAATCAGACCAGAATTTAGAAGGCCTCTGTGACATCACTGTACTGATGCACTGAAAATTCTATTTATAGTTTCTAGGCTAGACCAGCAAAATCTGGTATTCAAATGTGAAAAAAGCCAGGGGTGATCAGGAATGCAAAAATGAAATGATTCTAAGCAAGTACATTCCAGAATTATTTGGCTTTTCTTTCTTCTAGGTTGTTAGAATAATGCAGTTTACTTAACTAGATGAATATAACCTCAGGAAAATTTGTACTACCATAATAAATACTAAACTTGAAAAGATATCAATCTTTGAGAATATCAAGGTAATTTTAGAAAGAACTAAGAAAAGTCAATCAATAAGTTAATGCCTTTCTTTTTATATGTAATAATTTTTTTTCTGGAAAAATATGGATTCTCCCTTAAATTGTAATAGGTTACCTTATAATTATGTCCAAAGTATCCAGTATAATGGATACTTTGGACATAATTTAAAAGCATATTTTCAATCATTAAAAAAATTCATTAGTACAAACCTGAACAAGAATCAAATTTTTTAAATTTAATAATGTAATTAAAAAAAAACTGCTACAAATAAACATGACAACTTCAACGGGCTTACAATTTGTTGTTGATATTTTTTAAAAGTAGATTTTACTTATAATTTCAAATACATTGTATTGTAGCTTCTATACTTCCACTTTATTATTTTAACAGTTTAAGTGGATTTTTTGCCACAGCCTGCTCTAATAAAGCCTTTAGTAAACACACACACACACACACACACCCCACAACAAGCTAAATAGGTAAAACACACAAAACCACATCAACCAAAATTATATACACAACACTAGCCTAATATTTTTGCATTTTTAAGAAAACACCCACCTTCATCACAAAAAAGACCAACTCCCAGACTGAAAAAAAAACCAACAACAACCCACCCCAAGACTGAACAAAAATAGCAGTGCCCAAAGAAATACAATCTAGATCAATTCAAATTCAGAATTGCTAGTCTTGTAGCTGTATGCTTATTTTAAACTTTTAAAAAAGTATGAAACAATAGAATTCAAGCATTTTGTTTTTTGCAGATCAGTAGCCTTATAATTCATATTTTATTTTATACTAGAGGCCCAGTGCACGAAATTTGTGCACGGCAGGGGGTGGGGAATCCCTCAGCGCCCCTCTCCAATCCGGGACCACTCAGGGGATGTCCGACCTCCCTGCAGGATCAGGCCTAAACCGGCAGTTGGACATCCCTCTTACAATCTGGGACCACTGGCTCCTAACCGCTCACCTGCCTGCCTGTCATCCCACTCTGCCTGCCTGCCTGATGCCCCTAACTGCTCCTCTGCTTTCCTGATCGCCCCTAAACGCCTCTGCCTGCCTGCCTGCCTGATCGCCCCTGACTGCTCTCCCCTGCCGGACTGATCCCGACTGCTCTCCACTGCTGGCCTGATCTCCCTAACTGCTCTCTCCTGCCGGCTTGATTCCCTTAACAGCTCTCCACTGCTGGCCTGACCGCCCCTAACCGCCTCTGTCTCGGCCCCGCCACCATGGCTTTTTCCAGAAGGACTTCTGGAAGATGTCCGATCTAATTAGTATATTACCCTTTTATTAGTATAGATTCCTGGTAACTAATAAAGTACTAGGCACCTATAAGCAATTCAATATAGGTTCACTCTATGACTGATGACTAGATTCTTGAATCTAATTCGAAGACATGCAACAAAAAACTTAATCCCGTGTTTATTATTTCTATTAAGAAATGCTATATATGAAAAAAAGCAAGGTCTATATTTTCAACACATTTTACACATTAAAAAACTCATAATTCTGGCTATAAAGACATAAAATTTTAAGCAATCTATGAGTGTACAGGGAAGGTATGCCCAAATGCAAGCTCATGCCTATACTTACACACACATACACACACACACACACACACAAACACAGGCACAAGCTAAAAGACTAAAAGCATATTTACACGCTTATTCCATAAGTATATATTCAGATATATCGGTCTCCCCTACACATAACACAAATGGATGTTGGAAGCTCTAATGGATGTTGGAAGCTCTATTCTTCTCTGTGGCAATAGGACACGATTTGCTGAAATAGTTTTTCCTATTTACTGAGGGAAATTCAGTTTTATATTTTGTCTTTATTTAAAAATTTGTTTTAAAATATATTTTTGAGTTCAGAGGGGAAGGGAGAGGGACAGAGAGATAGAAATATCAATGATGAGAGAGAATCATCAATCAGCTGCCTCCTACAGGCCCCATACTGGGAATTGAACCGTGACTCCTGGTTCATAGGTTGATGCTCAACCACTGAGCCATGCAAGAAGGGCTATTTTGTCTTTTAAAATCTGAATCCTTAGGCTGGGCTATTTTGTCTTTTAAAGTCTGAATCCTTAAAGGACTTCTACATTTTAAGTGTCAGGGTAAATATAAGCCTTTCCCAAAGATTGAGGTAGTCTAGATGCACAATGACAATCAAAAGTGATCAATTTAAGAAATACTTTAAAACTATCATGATTAGTCACTTATAATCCACATTTTATGTGCTTTCTAAATCAAGTATTAAAGTCTGCAATGGGAAATACTAAAACCAGCAGTTCTTTAAATGCTTTGACAAAGTACATGGAAACCTATTTTCTCGTGACTATTTCTGCTTTTTTTTTTCTAAAGAGAGTAAGCTAGCCTGCCAGTAATCTTAATGGGAATTTAAGTACTTCACTAGGTTAATTCTGTATTATAATTCTATCTCCTTAAATATACATTAAAAATCTAACATTTTTTTGTAAAATCGAGCCCTTATCTTTTTATAAAAACTTCAGTCTGACTTTTTAATTAGTACTTACATTTGACATTATAAAATTTATACATCTATTATTTAATCCTCATAACTATAATTATGCTCACTTTGCAGTTAATGAAATGATGCTTTCAGCAAGTAACTTGTTAAGAAGCAGATGGCTAGCTAGCTCTGGCAGTCTCCAAAACTCAGGTCCTTTTCCTAGCTTAATGTTTTACAGGGAGTCATTTACATTTCAAATAAGAGCTTTAAATGAATTAACAGAAAAACAGAAATATATTCTGAGGTGGAATGGCAAGAGTTGAGACAATAAATACATTAAAAAATTGTTTTAAGGCAGTATTGTATCAAGACAAATGTAGTGAGAGAAAAATGCAGAAAATAAAAAGAGAATAAATTTGGTACATATTAAAAACGTACTTAAATTATAATTAGGGCAAGAACAAATGCTGTATGGACTAATAGGTATAATAATTACATATGGTAAAGAAACAATAATCCAGCTTCAGGTTCTTCATAATATTAGTCCTCAATAAAAACTTTATTAAACTTAAATAATTCAAAGTATACTTTGTATTACCTTATAACTATTATTTTTTATTCCTGAAGATAAAGAAAAATGGTCTATCTTAGTAATGTAACAGTTTAATTCAAGTCTTGAATTTGTAATAAATTTCATATAAACCTGTGGGTCATAACTATTGATTTTAATATATACTTTATACTTATAAAATATCTCCACATATATCAAGTTTCAAAAATGCACATTAATTCAAAAAGGTCATTACTCATCCTATATAATAAAAGGCTGATATGCAAATCGACCAAACGGCAGAACAACCGGTAGCTATGACCCGCACTGACCACCAGGGGGCAGACGCTCAATGCAGGAGCTACCCCCTGGTGGTCAGTGGGCTCCCACAAGCCGGGCTCACAGTTGACAAGCACAGCGGCAGTGGCAGGAGCCTCTCTCGCCTCTGCAGCAGCGCTAAGGATGTCCGACTGCTGGACAGTCCCTGAGGGCTCCCGGAATGTGAGAGGGGGCAGGCCGTGTTGAGGGACCCCCCACAAGTGCACAAATTTCATGCACCGGGCCTCTAGTTTGATATAAAATGGGTAATGATGCTATTTCCATCTGGTCTTAAGCTGCTACTTATTTCCACAAGTTGAAGGGAAAATTAAGAAATAAATTTTATGTAAAATAATCCTATATAATAAAGAGGTAATATGCAAATTGACCATCATGCCCTTGCACAAGATGGCCACCCCCATGTGGTCAAAGATGGCCGCCACGGGAGGGCAGTTGTGGGCAACCAGGCCAGCAGGGAAGGGCAGTTAGTGGTGACCGGGCCGGCAGGGGAGGACAGTTGGGGGCGACTGGGCCAGCAGGGGAGGACAGTTGGGGGCGACTAGGCCGGCAGGGGAGCAGTTAGGTGTCGATCAGGCTGGCAGGGGAGTAGTTAGAGGGTGATCTGACTGGCAGGCAGAAGTGGTTAGGGACAACAGGCAGGCAGGCGAGTGGTTGGGAGCCAGCAGTCCCAGATTGTGAGAGGAATGTCCAACTGCCAGTTTAGGCCCAATCCCACAGGGGTCGGGGAACCAGATTGGAGGGGGTGCAGGTTGGGCTTAGGGAGCCCCCCTACAGTGCACGAATTTCGTGCACCAGGCCTCTAGTTGTTTAGATAACTATGATCATATTCAAGTTTTTAAAAATGAAAAAAAAAAACAACTTTCTGTATTATGTTTAAATTTGTTGTTTACTAAGAAAGGTAAGCTTTACTAATCGCAGTGATAACCTCCGTAGCTATTTGCTTTAAGTTTCCTAATATGAAAGGACTATTTTAGAGCCTAAAAAAGATAAATATAAATAGTTAAATATATAATCTAGTATAGGAGTAAAGTCATTAGTTAATGATGTTTTAAAAATAAAACACACCAATTTCACTCAATATTTTCTGCAGTCAGAAGTTTTGAGATCAGATTTTACTGTCATATTTTTACCTAACAGGGAAATAAGACAAAAACAGAAACACAACAGATCACATATCCTAACACAGCGACTCTAGTCAAAATATAGTCCATATTTAATACATTCTATATACAATGTTAAAAATATCTTCAAAGAATAACTATAAATACATGTTACACCTGAAACTGAATTATTTTATAGTAAATATGGGAGCCATCTGCAATTGCAGAAACACAAGTAATATTTTATCTCCTATGAAAAAATTACTTTTGATGAATTTAATAATAAAAAACAAAACATAAACCAGATTAAAAGGGAATATTTCCTTTTACTCTTTTACCGATGGACAGACATTTTAAAACAGAAACGAACATAAAACACTGCCATTTTGGATACTCATAGTGCCTTCGATATTTCACTGATACACTATAATGTAATGCTATTAGACTATGGTGCACATATTTTTATTAATACTGAAATAAAGGAATGAATGTTTTAAATCTTCTTAATACATACAACAAACTATTTTCTAGAAAAGTTGTACTAATACTTCAATCACTCAAACAGAATCCTTATAAGAATAGATATTCATCACTTAATTTTTCCCATTGATATTGAGGTGAGAGAAAGTAGATGGAGATTTTTATGGTTTTAAATTTACATATCTCTAGTTAGTGGTGAATTTGAACATTTAAAATATTAATATATTTTAATCCTTTTATTTTTATTTCCCATCTACATCATTTGCACATTTTCATAATAGAATATTTCTCACATATGTTCATGAACGTTATATATTAAGAATATTAACCCTTAATTTGCCATTTATAGCAAGTCATTTTTTCATTTATTTACCTTTTAATTCTTATGTACCTAACAAAAAGTAATTAATTTAAAGTTTTAAAGAAAAATTCTCAATAGCTATCCAATTTTCCCTACATTTCCTGGATAACCTGCTCCATTCTCCATTGGTCTAGAATTCTTTGTGATCACATTAAACTCTTTTATACATAAATTTCTATTTCTGGGCTGTCTTACCTAGTCTGTTGATCTGTAGATATATTTCTGGGTCAGCACTATGCTGTGCGAATTCTTGTATCTTTGTAATAGGTTGTGATATTTGATTAATACTTTCTCATGATTTTTTCTTTCCAAATTATTTTGGCTATTCTTATATATTTATAATTCAGATGCATGTTAAACAAATTTTGTCAATTAACTCAAATATGAATTTTAAGGGAAAACTAATTAAACCTATATATTCAATTAATGGTATTATTTTAAAGATTATTTCACACACAGCTTTAGTCCTTTTGAATCTATTCTTTGGGATAATCAGATGCCATTTATGAACTGGACAAGTAGTACAAATATTTAACTACATAAATACTGTTAACCTAATATATAAACCATAATGTATATAGCCAAGAAATAAAAAAGGATAATCATGTCTGGATTAAAGTTCTTCCTATAATTTGATTGGACTAATTAAAATAAAAGCTTTCTTTTTATCCTTTTCTATAAAATAAAAATCATGCTAATTTTCCAGGTAATACACCCATGTCAGATGATCTGGTGAAGTCCAAGTTATTTTTGATAAAGCACACAATTCCACTAACTTTTACAAATTCCAAGATTCTAACTATGATTCAGGATGGGGCAAGGGAACTGTTTCTCTGAACTTTTTAAAGAAACACTGATTGCCTTTTTATAATAAATGTAAAAATGTGTAAGCTTTACAGTTGAGAATCACTGATACTCACCTTTCAAAAATACTATCTATATACTAGAGGCCCAGTGCACAAAATTTGTGCATTCGGGGGTGGGGGAGTGGGGGCAGTGGGGAGGTGGGTCCCTCAGCCTGGACTGCGCCCTCTCGCAGTCCGGGAGCCCTCGGGGGATCCTTAGTGCTGCTGTGGAGGTGGGAGAGGCTCCCACCACCGCTGCTGCACTCGCCAGCTGTGAACCCAGCTTCTGGCTTGGCAGCACTCCCCCTGTGGGAGTGCACTGACTACCAGGGGGCAGCTCCTGCATTGAGCGTCTGCCTCCTGGTGGTCAGTGAGCGTCACAGCAACTGGTCGTTCCACCGTTTGGTCGATTTGCATATTAGCTTTTTATTATATAAAAGAATTGTAGGTGATTACATATCTAGTTCTAAAATGACATCTGAAATTTATATTCTTTCTAAAAAATTGAATTCTAACAGATTTCTATGTATTGGAATGTAAATCTAACAGATTTGTGTTTAGAATGTAAAATTCTAAAAGTACTGTATTTTATTTTTAGTAAATTACTGTAGTATATGTATTATATCAAGGGAAAGTTTGTAACTGTGTGTTCTTTCCTATGAAGTTACTCTTAGAAAATCCGACCAGTAATTTTTAAAAATTCAATTAGTGCATTAAGACTTTTATCCTAAATTTTGGATACAAGAGATTTTTTGCAACCACAATAGGGCGATCAATTAGACAAAGAGTTTTTAAGATTCAGTGCTTACTTTCTGTTGTTGATGTTGTTATAATTATTTGATAGAGATGAAGGAGAGATCTTTGGTAAAGTTGAAAAATTGGATGCACCTGGGGACCTTTAAAAATATGAAAATGTTAAATTAGATAAAAAATGCTGAATTTTGAAATTAATTATGAAATAAAGAAAAGAACCAACAGATGACAATGTATGTAGTAAATGAATGCTGGAAAACAAATTCATGAGCAAAATCACTATATATTTTTTGGCTTTCAATTTCCAATGTATTCTTTTATATAAAAAATAATGGTACAAAGGAAACTACTTTCAAAAGAAATTTATGAAATAAATATGCAACTTGATATTACTCTTATAGATATACTAACCCAATAACACTAATTTCTACTTCAGGTAATCACTATGAATATTTCATAATCAACAATTTGCTTAAATCCATGGAATTAAAATATTATTTTTTAAGGAAGTATGTAAATAAAACCACTTGTGTCTCAAGTTAGAATGCCACCATGGATTGAATAGCATGAAAATTCAAAACATAATCCCCAAAAGTAATTTTTGGGCAGCTTTCTCTGCAAACACAGAAAAGACATAAATCTGACTATATGTTACATACCTCACTAATTCAGAATCTTTTTGGAGAAGTCTCAGTTATTAGCTTTTAATTAATTACTAGTTCTTAATCAAATAAAATGCTTTAAAAGCATGATTTATAATCAACAAATCCATTATAAAGTACTTAAAGGTCTATGAAAGATTTAATTTGTTTTAATTTTATAAACAATTTTAATTTACTAGGCAACATCTAGCCTATAGTCTGTAAAAAGATAACTTTCAGTCTCTCAATCATCATAAATTCTAAATTAGTGAGGTACACGTGATTATTTTTAAAAATTATTTTATTTCCTCTACTCAGGTGCTAATGAACAATGAAATGGTCAATATGCAGGAAAGTACAATCTATAAAACTAGCTTTTAGTAATCTGGATTTCACTAAATCTATATAACTGCAGAATAAATGGTGGATAATAAAATTTCTTTCATACAGACATTTTAATTTAACTTTTGAAGTTTTATGTATTATAAAATCTTGGTAAATTTTTTTCTTCATTTTAAAGGAGGTTCTTTTTGTTGATACAGGCTGTTCATAGGTAGGTTACATTAAGTGAGACTTAATTAGGTACCTTCCTAACAGAAGACTCTTACAAGATTTTATTTTACTATATTAAGCTCAAGATACAAAATATGACCAACCAAATTCTAATATAAAACAAAGTAGAGAACCTACTTAAAAGGTACTTTTGTAGTTCTAGTATTCTAAGGCAAATAAAATACATTTTATTTGACCCTTACTAGTTTTAAAATATTAATAACAATATAGGAATATCATGGCATTCCCCCCTTCATGTTAAGAATGCTAAATTAGAAAAAAACTAAATTAGACATTGAGGCATAATAAATTAAAGGAGGTTAATTTTTGAAAATGATACCCATTTGGCTATAATTTAATTCATTACAACTTTTCAGAGATATAAACTGCAATGTTCCCTTGAATTTTACTTATAGCAAAAATTATGGAAATAAAGATATATTATGTCATCCAATAAAGTGGCTGAGACACATACATAGGGCAGGGAAAAGCAGTAAAAAGGCCTCAGGTGGGCAGAAAAAGAAAATAATATACAGAGTGGGGCAAAAGTAGGCTTACAGTTGTATGAAAAATAATACAATAATTAATGAATAAAAATATAAGAATAAACTGTTTTGTGTATTCACATCTGTAAAATAATATATGGAGACTGCCCCCCTCCGTATATTATTTTCTTTTTCTGCCCATCTGGGGCCTTTTTACTGTTCATCAGCAACTCTACCTAAGGACAGTATTATAAGTTTTTGTGAAATTCATTAAAACATTCAAACATTGATTAAATGATTACTAAAACTTCACTCCTGGCAAGAATTAGGAGTTTAAAGACAGAGCTCTTCCTGACCTCAAACAGCTCACAAATTAATGGGAGAAAATGATACATAAGCAAAATAAATTCTGTGACAAAATTTAAAATTGTAACAAACTATAAAATTTTTGTGGATAGTAATATGCAGCAATTTTTAAATGATACACACAGATGGAGGTGTAGGTAGGAACTGAAAGTGAGAATATTCCAGGTAAAAGAACAGCACATGCAAATGCATGAACTGTAGATATTATGATGTTTATAGAGAATAAATTCAGATTGGATGAAAGAGTAAGAAGTATCTAGTGATAGGAGTAGAAGTTAGTAAGGTAGGTATGATAACATAGGACCTTTTATGTTCTATAAAGGAATTTGGATTTTATCCAGTTGTGCTAGTACAGTCCATGGTCCCTTAGGGGACTCTAAGAACCTTTCCGCGTGCCCAACTATGAGGTCAAAACTATTTCTGTAATAAGACCGAAGTGTTATTTAAGTGTTATTTGATCCCTTTCACTGGGTGGATATTTGCACTGACAGCTTAAAAACAATGATGGGTAAAACTGCTAATACATTAGCATGAATTAAAGCAGTAGCACCAAACCATGTACTAGAATCATTGTATTCTTCACCACACCCCCAACCCTACACTAGAAAATACTGTTTCACTTAAGAATATCTATGTTGAAAAATGAAAATTACTGATTTGATTAAACCATGACCCTTAATTAAACTTCTTTTAATATTGAGTAATAAATCAGAAAGTTTTCATAAAGCACACCTGCTACATACTGAATATGGTTGTCATGAGAAAAAAGACATTTATCTGAATTTCAAGTGAACTATTCTCTTTTCACTCTTTTACATAAAAGGCTATCTGGCAGACATTTTCTCAAAAATACATGAAGGGAGCCTGTTACTTTAGGAAAACAAAACTTGAGCTTGATAGCTTCCCACTACTTAAAGTTTTCTCATTAAAACTGGTGATGTTTTAACAAGAGTAATTAAAAAATTATATGATGATTTATGTCAACATTTGGAATACCTGTAAAATTCAGTGAATCAAAATTTTCCACTGCATGAAGTTACACATGACAGATTTCAATGTAATAAAATAAAAAGTTCATCGACATGATATCAGATTCCACATCGCAATTAACCTTTCATCATTAAACCACCACGGCTGAGTTCTGATATGGTACAACTATCAAAAACAAAACAAAACTCCTCCCTGTTCTAACTATATATTTGTGCAATGCTGAATTTATAACCCAAACAATATATCACAAAAAAATTCAATGCAGAAGCACCTAAGAGAATTTAGCAAAAATTTAGAAATGTATTGTTCTCAGTACATTTTTTGTTTTAGAAAGTAGTTATTTTCACAAAATATTACTTATGTCAATATATAATAGTGTAGTATTACTTATAAATAAATAAACATTTATTTTTAATTTCTAAAATACAGGCATCAATAGATATGACACATATGACAAAAGTTCTTTGAATCCTTAATAACTTTTAAGAATATAAGGGGGTACCAAGATCAAAACATTTGAAAACTTTGGGTTAGGAGGTAGAATCTGTAAGACTAGTTGACTAATTAAATAAAAGAAATAAGGTTAAAGGAAGAACTTAAGAAGGCTCTCAGATGGTACCTGAAATAAAGAATAATAGGATATGGATATAGTTTAGGTTGAAAGGATGAAGAACATGGATTAAAAAGATTTTAAGTTCAATCTGACATTGTGAATTCTACCTGACATTTAGGAAAAAATATGAAATTCAGCAGAGAGCTCTAGGTTAAAAATATGGAAAGGAATATTGGTGTCAGTTTGAGCTAAAAAACAGGATTAGCATAGAGTCCATCCACTGATTTTGAGAGCCTATTATGGTATGAAAAGAGAGGTGCTCAGATGGAAATTTGTGGAATATTAATGCATTTAAAGTGTGAGAAGTGCTACTGCATATACTCAGTGAAGTTGTATAATGCACAGTGCCAAGGAGGGCCTTTTACATATATTACAATGTGAACAACATCCTCAAGAACTGTGTAGTATACAACCTGCACAACCAAACATAGCAGCCCAGGAGAGGAAGAGAGCCAGCCAACCAGAGGATTGGTCAGAGAGGTAAAAATAGTGCTTGAAAAACTGGGGTGTAATAGTTTCAAATTAAGATAAATTTTTTAGAAGATAGATACCAAAATTAAGTTTTAAAGAGAGGTCAAATAAACTAAGTTACAAAAAAAGTCAAATAAAGAGACTTTGTTAAATTCTGAATGGATAGTAAGAAATTTTATTTTAAATAAATTAGCTGTAAAATAAAAAAAAGTAAAAAATCATATTTGGAGGAAGTTTATGTCTTTATAAAAAAGATGGGAGAGGTTTATTTACATTTATAGGCTTGGGGAAGATGATTCTGGACAAGAAACAAAGAATGGATGAGTATTATTTGAGTGTCTACTGTATTGTGGCAGTATGCTAGGCATTTGTATAGTTAGGAGAGAAAAGACAACAGAAGAAAAAACAAGGTCTAGGAAGCACTGGAATAAACAACTTTACTGGAGAGATTGCCCTTAAATAGCACGGAGATTAGAGAGGGAAGAATGGATGTGGTCCACAGGTAATTTTAAAATATGATAACACTTCTTAAATGCTGTTACAGACATTATTGATCACTTATCGATTCTGATTTCCAACTTCTGACCTAGATTGCACATAGCCCAATCTAGCTAACATTGTGGAGTGTTGTTTTTTTTTTAAAGGTTGACTAGTCAGTCTGTGCATTATAACCTGAGCCCTTTAGCTTTCTTCCATTGATGTAATTTGGATATTACACTGTCCATTAGCAACTTTGCTCTAGTGGCTTTCTAAAAAGAGAAGAGAGAAAAACGTTTAGAATATTACACGTAGATATTAAGCCATAGATACTAAATTTAACTAACCTAGGGTTAAACTACTTTTTGCTAGATTGAGGTAGATGTAACATAAGGCAGTGACTTATCTCTTAAACAAGACAGAAAAAGGTAAAACATCAACGTAACTAACATAATTTTATAAAGAGAGAAAATTAAACTTTATCCCTTACAAGTGAATGCAATATTTGAATTTCCCTATTCTAATGTTATAATGAAAATCATGCAATT